GATGAAGCAGCTGCGGTGCCTCACCCCTCTTTGCTGATAATCATTAAAATTCAGTTTCAAAATTTCTGTCTTTAACAATTTCCCAAGGAGCCTATGAAAGATGCCAAAAGAGTAGGGCTTTTTTCACATGGCCCCGTCCTGGGAGCAGGCAGGCCCTGGTCAAAGTTGCTTCAGAGCCCGCTCCCAGGAGCAGTTCAGGGCATCGTGTCCGGGCTGGATTGCTGTGCCCACTTGGATGGAAGGAACAGTTCTGGGAAAGTGTAAAGGCAGGTTAAGAAGCTGGGGAAGGCAACTAGCATTTTTGTCATCCACATTGCCCCTGGAGCACAGCCAGTCTGGTCCTGGGGGTGGAGTTCAGAACCAAGTGGAAAGTTCTCACTCTTTAATCTTCCAACTCCTCACTGACTTTCTTCTGCCCGCTCAGCTCTCTGGCCTCTCAGCCTTGATTCCAAAAAGAAAAATATTTCTATATCAGCAAGTTCCCTTCTGTCAAAAAGCTTCCTTTAACAGCTCTTTCTCCTTTGGGTGGAGAAGTCAGCTTCTGGGTCAAGAGGAGGCTTTCTAAAGTGTTTTGAGAAACAGAACAATAGATGCGCATGGGCAAAGTGGGGTGGCTGAGCTTCTTCTGGAGCTCTGACTGAGAGTTGCCAAACAAACATTGTTCAGACCCAACCTCAGAGTAGTGTTTCTCGTTCCCTGCGATTAGTACCAAAGATGCCCCCATTGGAATGGATGGAAAGAATACAGCATTTCTTTGAAATTCTCGGTGGGAGTTAAGTACCTGCCTCCTATTGCCTTCAGCTCTTAATCACGTATGACCATCTTCCTAAATACCAGCTTTCTTTCCTATGAAACCATTGGCTCCTCAGCATACCTGGTACTTTTTCTCCTCCCCTTAAATTTTTATCCCTTGCTCTTTTTTCCTCTGGGGCCCGGAGCCAAATTCTCAGAATTAAATCATGATCTCACAAATGCCATGACAAGTTAACAGGAGAATTTGGGGGCAGTGCTGAAAATACATGATATGGAGAATAAGTGTTACAACTGGATGCAGCTACAAAGTGGCAGTTTGGGCTATCAGCAATGAATTCCACATTTTCCTATAGGCTTCTATTTATTTAATTTTCAGGATCTACTGATCCTAATAGATACAAGTTAAAACTGAAGTAAATTAGAGAAACGTTAAAGAAAGACCAGATTAAGCCTTTTCCAGACTGGCAGCCAGGGTATCTTATACAGTCTGTGATTTTTTGGACAGATTCTTTCATACCACTGGAAACCTAGATAGGCTGATACCCAAAGCCCTGCTTCTTGGTCTTTAATTACAGACCTGGCAGAGTGGAGCTCTGTACCGATTCAAAGAAAATCAATCAGTGCTTACTAGCCATAACAAATCAATAAAAACAATTAGCTGGAGAAATAATATTAACAACATGCCCTTGTTACCATCAGACAGGAGTCCCTAAGAACTTTGAAGCTTCCTATAACACGTATTATTTTATTGCTTTACTACCTGATTTTGTAGAATTTCTGCTCACGTGATATCTAAAGTTGTTTCCTGAAAGTGCAACATGAATGAGTTTTACAATCATTTTATACCATGGTCTCAGATTAACTGTATCCCCGAGGCTTTGAATATGTCTGTTGGTGTGGACTAACAATATTCTTTTCCGCTGTAAAGGGGCCACATATTGTAGTAGAGAACACACTAGGCTGGACATGCCAAGTAGGATCTAGGTCCCAGTTTAGGCATGTAACTAACAGTTGGTATGCACGGCAGTTCGTGGTTTGGGGCTTCAGATTCCACATATAGAAAGTAAAAAGCTAGGACTAGGTCATCTCTTAGGACCCTCTTAGTCCCTAGATTCTGTAGTCCTGTAACACACTTGTGAACTTTCAACCTAAGAAAAGATCCAGGTCTATGAGTTACTGAATAAACTATCTATTTCATCATCTTTTCAGTAAAAGTTTATACAGAAGATTGACAAATGATTTTTGTTTTTTTCCTAAAAGATCCTAAATTTGACTAGAGGAAATCAAGCTAAGAGACTTGGCATTGTTTTCTCGCATACAAATGAACCATTGTGTTACACTTAAACTTCTTTTCCTTTTCAGATCCAACTTAAAAATAATGTTTCGCCCAAGATAAGGCTTGTGGTTTAGGAGATCCTGGTCTGGCTTGCCTCATTTTAAGACTTTCTATCAGCTCTTTTCAAAACCTGAGGAGGACCTCATTTCCTGTTGGAGAGTTCCTCATACTTTGCCAGCCTCCGGGTCTTTAGGGAAGCTTGCCAAGAGTTCCCAACTGGGAAGGACAATTTGAGCTCATCATAGAGAATGAGCTGGTACCACAGTTGTGGTGACTCACCAACCTGGTTGCCCACTTTGCGATGGCAAGAACCACGCCATCTAGTTGAAAGACCTGTGTTTTAGCAAAGTGCAATTGGATCACATGGCAAAATCACCTCATCAAAATAGTCTCTGATCTGCCCTTTTACTAGCTGTTTTGAGAACAAGGCAAGAAAGGAAATTATATCCTGAATTATATTTTGTTTCTTAAAAATTAAGATTAATTAACAGATCCTTGCCTTTATGTCCAGTCTGTTCTAAGAATTTAGTGGTGATTACAGAATGGGGAAAATAGGTCACAGCAAAATGAACATTCAAGATTAGGTTAGAACATACCTCTGAAATTTGAAGTGAATCAGTATTCATTTTTGGAGTGTCAGTTACGACATTTCTATAATTCATCATTTCTTTTTCTTGGCTTAGAGTCAAGATAAGAAATAATATTTAGGCCAAAGACATTGTTTTGTTATATAGCCACTGCTTTTTAAAATGCAAATCCACTCTCCCGCTCACCCTTGCTTCATTTGTGCACGCTCATGCTCACACACTCACACACACACACACACACACACACACACACACCCAGCACCCAGATGCTGGAGAAAGCCCTTTCAAGGCATCTAGGACCTCAGTCATGTACAAGGTAGATTGGAAAATTAAGGGAGGGCCAGAGCAGCAGCAACACTAAGAGTCATTGGTTTTGCTTTACAAAAAATCATTGTATAGTACACAGGTATTTTTAAAAGCAAGTATTATTATGATCGAAGAGTATTATCCAAGTTATTACAATTCTCGTCTCATTTCAAGTCACATATAGGAGCCATTCTAAAGTATTTTGTATTACAATCTGTTACCAAAAAGCAACTAGTAAAGTCTTAAAATGTGTATAGGTTTACCCCATGGGGAATTAAATTTTAATTTATAAGTCTTTCTATTGTTGTGGAGCTTTAGGACAAGTTAACATTTGATATTAACGTGGACGAATATGCTATGGCTTTTTTAGCTTTAATGTGCATGGCTCTAAAATAAAGTACACATTTCATTTTTTCCTCCCTGTATTCTTTTGTTATAGTAAATTATTTTTGCGATGTTGTTTTTCATGTACACAAGTCACTTGGTAAAAGATAGAATATATAATAATAATAATAGCCCCTTGCTTTTCTTCTAATTTTACTATTTCAAGTTAAGCAAAAATGGACACTTTTCTTTCAGGAAAAAAAATATTGAGTTTATTTTTGAGGCAAAAATGATTATTTAGTTACAGTATTTTTTTCCCTAATAGATTAGCATTTATGATGGGTCTTATTTCAAAGCTGATTATTCTCAAAGAAAAGCGGAGAGTTATTAGATATTCCAAGTAAATTACGTTGTTTAAAAAGTATTTTAATACATTATTCAAATTGTCAGCTATTGGAAAGGAAAAAAAAAAAGGCAGTATCTATTCCAAATGTGAATTTTGCGGCTTGGAAAGACCTTAGAAATTCCAATTTCTTTAGGACAGCAGTAGAAATTAATATAAAGGCATACACAATTTAGAACTCCCTCGATTTTTTTTTAAACTTTAACTGTGAGAGGCATCTCTGCAAGGTAGGTTTTAACATATTTTTTCCTAATTTTTTTCCTCCTTTCAGTAAGAAGGATAAGCCTTTAGAGTACCCAGTCACCGTGGTAACTGCCAAAAAAATTCTCCTGAAGTTTGAAGAGGTCAGCTAGCAGGGTCAACCACTCTGGCCTCTCTCGGAGCTCCGTCTAGCATGCCCCAGCCTGTAGTTGGAGTGTCAGGCCAGATCTGACCCTGGGAGGTGGACTATTCCGGCTCTGATATAAATTTTTTGAGTCAGTTCATGGCCTGGACTCTCCAGGTGGCCTCCAAAATCTATTTTGACCCCCTGACCCTGTCTCACGGAAGCATAGCATCCACGCTAAGTAAGGATTTAGCCAGGAATGACAGCTTTCTGCTGAGTGTTATTGGGGACAGTGTAAACAGTTTGGAAAGCAAGTAAGGAGGTGTGAGTGCTAGAAATCGTTAAAAGCACATTAAAAAGCAACTTAAGAAATCTTTCTTTGTAAAGAAAAATTTAAAATAGATATTTGTTACATAATTTTTATGTGATTTGTAGGATTTTCTTAATCTAAGGAAAGTTTTGAATATAAACCCTCAAACCAGGCATCTTTCTCCTTTTATATACTTTGTTACAAATATGCAAATAAGATAGCCTGACTTGCAATGAAATAGGCACAGCAGAGATGTAACATATACAGAAAGAGAAGCTAGTTATTAAAATACATTAATAGAGAGTTTCTCGGATTTTAAATACTAAATTACGTGTGTGTGTGTGTCTTGATATGTTTAAAATGGGATAATTAGGAACCTTAGAATGAAGACACACCTGCACCGCAGGCCAAGTACCTTGTCACTTTGTAAAACAAAGAGCCAATATACCTATTTGGATCCAAATGAGATTAAAAATTATAAATGTGGAAGGTTAGCTCTTAAAGCACAAAAGGGGAAAAACCAATAAATTAATAGTGTCTCTGAATTAACTCTGTATTTTCAACAGTTTAAGATACCAAAAGCTAGAAAAAAAAAATAATGTATATAAATCATCAGTGATTCTTTCTTTTTCCTCCTTTTTTTTTTCTTCCAGGATGCCACCCTGAAAGTTTTATTTTCTCCAGGAAAGTAGAGTTCACTTTGAGAGTTCTAGCCTGTGAACTCAGTATGTAAATGTGGTCATCAAGCAAGACGGAGCTGCCAAGAGGGAAGATTTTGAACGTTTCTCTTTCCTAAAACCCTTCCCAGCATTCCTTCTTCTGGGGGTGCTTTACTTGAAGTTTCCCTCTTTCCCCAACACTGTTGAAAATAGCTCCCAAGCAACACTGCAGTAGCTAAACCAATTGTACTGTGAAGTTGTTGAGCTGGCATTTCATCTGAATCCTTTGTAAAAACTAGATTTTAAGTAGGGGTGAGTGTCCTTTTGGGAGACGGGACAAGGGGGAGGGGAAGAAGAGGGGGAGGGGATGAGCAATTTATACACATATATACTCTTTGTGTTTGAAGGCCTCTGTGTCTTGGCTTCTCACTATGTTAAATCCCTATTATAAAACTTATCTTCACAAAGCCTATTATAGTATTCTGAGAACAAATTGGACCATGAATAACTTAGTTGGAAGTGTAGATTATTTTCTACTCAGGAAAAGTTAGAGATGACAACAGCTTAACTAAAAGAATAGTGATTAATTTTAAATAGATGAATTTCAAAGTTTCACTCTCGATAAAGAGTACCTTTGATATTTCCCCTCTTCAGACTCATGTTTCCACTTTCTTTGTATTAAGAATTGTCCTAGTGATTACATTGTCCACCTAATACAGCATGACTCTGACTGTAGATCTTTTTCTTACAGGTTGCTAATCTGTCAGAGAGGTGAGCAGAAAGACACTCCACTTCCTATTGATTAAATATATGGTTCCAAAGTGGGACCTGTGCTTAGATATCAGACTCTCTGTTAGAAATACTATCTGGCATAAATCAAAATTTCTCAATTAGATAAAATTATTATTTAAAAACATCTTAAATTTGTTTAATGCCCTACAGCTTACAGAACACTTCTCAATTCATAATTTTGTTTGATCCTTAGAAGACTGTTATGATATAAACACATAACACTAATCTCATTTTACCAAGGAGGAAGCTGAGTCACTTGTACACTGTGATCCAGCTGATAAATGGAAGAACTGGGATACCCACTCAGATTTTATAGCTTCTGTTTTAAGTGATTAACCTGTAGCAATAGGCATTTAAATTCCTTTTGTGTTCTACATCCCTGAAAATCAAGATTTTGTATGAAGGAGCAAAGTTTTTATATTTCACAGATACAGAAGTTAAAGGACCTGATCGAAAAAAAATTCTATTCACTTAAAAATACATGTCATGATTTAGTGTTTTCCCTCGTGTGTGCACGCACATGCATATGTGTGCGTATCAATAGTCTTTCAGAGGAGACAGTCTTAATTTCTAAAAGCCAAACATGGGCAACCCTATATAAACTAATAACTGCCTGGAATTTTTTAAAATGTCCTTGAAAACCATAAATTGTTTCAAAATAGCATGTAACAACAAATAAGCCTTTAGAAACACGTTCTGCATATGAAGTACTGGATAGCATGGCATTGATCAAGTTCTAGAGTGTTGTAAGTGAGGTTCCCTTCTTTTTCAGTTTCATTGAGATAAAATCAACAAAACTGGAAGATATTTAAAGCATATATCCTGATGATTTGATAAACATAAACATTGTGAAAGTATTCCTCCTATCTGCTTAATTAACATATCTATCACCTCACGTTTGTCTTTTTTTTTTTTTTTTGGTAAGAACATTTAAGTTTTTTTCTCTCTTTAAAAAAAAGAAAAAAAAGATTTATTTATTATTTGTCAGAGCGAGAGAGAGCACAACAGGGGGAGCGGCAGGCAGAGGGAGAAGCAGGCTCCCCGCTGAGCAGGGAGCCGGATGCGGGGCTCGATCCCAGGACTCTGGGATCATGACCTGAGCCGAAGGCAGATGCTTAACCCTAACTGACTGAGCCACCCAGGCGTCCCTAAGTTTTACTCTCTTAGCAAATTTCAGTTATTCATTACTGTGTTATCAATTACAGTCGCCACGTTAACCATTAGATCCTCAGACAGTATTCATCTGGTAGCTGAAAGTTTCTACCCTTTTACCAACCTCTTCCTAATTCCCTTACTCCCCAGCCTCTGCCCTTCTAGTTTTTATAGACTCGTATCTTTTAACATCTTAGCAAGTTGGATAAACAAAGTTGTATAGGACTACTTTTGTTTCTCTTTGGTTTTTACTTTCCATGTTAAAAAAAAAAGTTTGCAAAATACTCTAGAAATAATAAAGAAAATGTTTAGTTAACTTGCTATTGATATAATCTATCTGAACAAACAGAAATCAAGAAATACAAAAGGATACTGCCATGTGATTCTTCTTAAGGAGGTTTTTAATTACATTGTTTTAATTATGTAATGAAGGCAGTGTGGATGTTAATATGGAAATTATTTGTTTATTTCTTAAATTGTATGCACTTAAATTAGTCATTTTATATATACTTAAATTAAGGTTTTTGTCCTTAAATTATGCGGGCAGCCAGACAAATCCAGTTAGGCTTTTTGGGATTAGATAAAATTAAAAAGTATCCAGAAAAGGAAAAGCAACTGTTCTAGCTGGATGTTGCATTTGTCAGTTTGTATCAATAATGACATATATGATAACCTTCCTTGTACTAAGGTTTGTCAATTAAAACGTGACATTAGACCAAAGATTATTCATTTTGACTTGGAGGTAGATGCTCAAGCCTCCAAATTCAAGCTTTGATTATCTTCTCTACTAATTCTCAAATTAAGAAATGACAAAATAAGAACTCTCATATTAGCACGAATATGTTTGTTTAGATGCCTTTTGCAATTTTTTAATTATATTACCAATTTCATTTAGTTTGCTCATGTGTGTCTTTAACATCTGTCATTGTCCAAAACAGGTTTCCTTCCTCCTACCTCTCCTCCCTTCCTCCCTCCCTCCCTCCATTCCTTCTTGTCTTCTTTTCTCTTTCCTCCCTCTTTCCCTTTTTTCTTTCCTCCCCCTCCTTGTGTTACTCCTTGGTTTTTAGGTAATTTTGTTTTAAAATGTAGAGCAGCTTGGGCCTTAAGGGGCTTATCTAATGCAATCTGATGCCAAACTGATATGCTGCACAAGAAAACATTTACTTCAGTTAAACTTATAACAAGTCAGAGAACCCTGAAGTATAGTATCAATAGTTCTCTGACAACCAAAATTCAATCCTGAGGGATCAACTTTTAATGTTATAGATTCTGGCAGTTTTCCTCTTGTGCTGTCTTGATATAGTCTTTCTAAGTCATTTAAGCTATCAGGTAGTTTTCAGGTAAATTTCTCATGTTGCAAAAGAAGATGAAGGAGGAGGAGAATTATTTTAGGAATCTGAAAAGAAATTTTGTCATATTTATATGTAAGTACATAGAAGCACCATGGAAAACATTGAAAAGCATAAATAGGGGCGCCTGGGTGGCTCAGCCATTGGGCGTCTGCCTTCGGCTCAGGTCATAATCCCAGGGTCCTGGGATCAAGCCCCGCATCAGGCTCCCTGCTCAGCGGGAAGCCTGCTTCTTCCTCTCCGACTCCCCCTGCTTCCTGCTTGTGTTCCTGCTCTCGCTGTCTCTCTCTCTGTCAAATAAATAAATAAAATTAAAAAAAAAAAAGAAAAGCATAAATAAAGATCAGAGAGTCCTCATTTTTCTTTTAAGTCATCCCTGTCCAATATACTGTGGTAGCAAAGGTGTGTTTCCTTCCTCCTTCCCTCCTCCCTCCTTCCCTCCTTTCTTTCTTTCTTTCTTTCTTTCTTTCTTTCTTTCTTTCTTTCTTTCTTTCTCTCTCTCTCTTTCTTTCTTTCCTTCCTTCCTTCCTTCTTCTCTCTCTCTCCCCCTTTCTCCCCCACCCCTGAAGTTGTTATCAGCCTGGACAGATTAATATAATTTTGGCAAAATAAGATGTTACTTTAATTGGTACAAGAATTATTTCTAGTGACATTTTTAAGTAAGTCAACCAGGCATAAAAAGGTTCTATATTCTTAGGAAAGCAAAAGTATATAACTGTGTAGTAGAAAAATCACAATGCATAGTGAAAAATTCAGTCAGCTGTTTGAGGATTAATTTCTATAATATCAGATTTGTCCCCCTCTCTCAGTATTGTAAATATATCTCACTTATTTGAGAGCTGATGGATACAATTCATTATTATGAGTAAAGCATGTGACTCTTGATCTTGGGGTTTTACGTTAGAGCTCCACATTGGGTATAGGGGATACTTAAAAATAAACTTTTTATTTATTTTTTTTAAGATTTTATTTATTTATTTGACAGAGAGAGAGAGCAAGAGAGGGAACACAAGAAGGGGGAGAGGGAGAGGGAGAAACAGGCTTCCCACCAAGCAGGGAGCCTGATGCAGGGCTCAATCCCAGGACTCTGGGTTCATGACCTGAGCCGAAGGCAGATGCTTAACGACTGAGCTACCCAGTTACCCCTAAAAATAAACTTTTCAAAAAAAGATTTACCTATTTATTTTAGAGAGAGAGAGAGCACTGGAGCAGGGGGAGGGGCAGAGGGAGAAAGAATCCTCAAGCAGACTCCCCACTGAACATGGATCCCAGAACCCTGAGATCATGACCTGAGCCAAAATCAAGACTTGGCCACCCAACTGACTGAGCCACCCGAGTGCCTCAAAAATAAACTCTTTAAAAAATAAGAAAAAAGTAGGGATTGGAACCAGAAAGTACAAAAAATCTCAAGATTTGGGCCCAGCTATCTTTGAAAGAGAAATTGGCATGTGCACAAATGTCTTTTCAGGATAAGCTATGGTAAAGGTATGAACAAACAGCTATGAAAATACAGAGTAGCCTAGAGAAGCTTGTTGGAGAAAATGGGGATTGAAGAATAGGTAGGGCTATGGTAGAAAGACATGGGGCCAGGCCATATTCCAGGTGAAGGGGAAAGGTAGAGGAGCGAGATTGTACCAGGGTACCATAGAAAATTATTTAATGGATTTAAGATAAAGTTTCTAGAATAACATAAAATGAGGCTGAATATTATCTATTTTAATAGGTTGATTTATAGGTTTATTCACCCAGGAAACAAAGTCCTCATAAGTGCCATGACAACATTTTACCAGTTATAAAACCATTTCTTTTAAAGAGAGTTAAAATTCAGTGAAAAAGAATAAGTATGAGAAATCTAGTGCTTCTCACACCAGATTATTCCTGGATCTGGGTGCCTCTGTGACCCTCAGTATCCTCATCTGGATATCTATTTCTCACATTTGCAAAATAACATCAAATATCAAAATGAAGACTCATGGAAAATCAGTTATCATTTTTCAAAGATATTTTGTGGGTCACTTCTTATATGCCACTTCTTCCAGCGTTCCATTATAGAGTTACAAATAAACACTGAATCTTAAAATGTATTTTTAAATGAATGACTCTTCAGCCTAAGAAAAAAATCATTTTTTTAATTCTGCATTCAGAAGCCGTACATTCATGCTTATGCAAGTGAATGAAAGTTTAGAAATATATTTAAATATGTTTAAAAGCCCGCAGAGATATCTTGCAATCAGGAAGTATCAGCAATTGTTTGAACAACCTCAGAATCTTCAATAAAAAAATACTAAAAGGCAAAGAAGCAGGGAATAAAGGCACACTGCATACATTCTAGAAACATCAGAATCATCCTGTAATAATCAAAATAGTAAACTGATACAAATGTTTTTGGTGATGTAACATGCAAGAGTCTAGGAATAGAATGCTGTTAACTGTCAATCTTCCTGATAAGAAATCGCAAGTCCAGTAGAGACTAAATCCTAGATCTGAGGCTTTGAAATCAGGCCCAAGGAATATTTTATAGGGGAAATGGGTTGAAATGTATCAAACATCAAATTAGAATGAAATGTGAGGCAAATACTATGGATGGATGCAAGGGTTCTCAAGGGTAAAAGAAACACCCGTTCTTGTATGTGGCTGGTTAATCAAGTTGGATAAAGCACTGGTTAATTGTCCAGAACCATATATTTAATTTCAATTTAACTTTGCTCTACTACATAGCCTCAAACTATAGCCCCCTCCTAACAAAAGTCTTTCACTTACAGTCTCCTTTCAGTCAATACATAAAGCTTTTGAGTGCTCCTAAGGGACAAGACACTACATAGGCGCTACTGAAAGAAAAAGGTGTTAAAATTAAAAGGAAAAGGTGTTATATCTCTTGCCCTCAAAGATACAAATAATATTCATATTTAAGGCCCCACCTAAAGCAAATTATTGACATTGCAGTAC